AGTCTGAATGCAGACGGAAGCATACGATTTGCTCTCTCTTTTTTGTTGTTGTTGTTTCTTCTTCTCGTGGTTCTTCCCAATTCTTCTTTACAACATGACTAATGTGAAATTATGTCTAATATGAATGTGTACGTAGAGCCTATGTCAGATTGCATGCCATCCTGGGGAGGGGAAGAAAATTTAAAACTCAAAACCTTATGGAGGAGCAGCTAGGTGGCACAGTGGATAAAGCACCAGTCCTGGAGTCAGGAGAACCTGGGTTCAAATCTGATCTTAGACCAGATACTTGACACTAGCTGTGTGACCCTGGGCAAGTCACTTAACCCCAACTGCCTCGCCCCCCCCCAAAAAAAAAGCTTATGGAAGTAAATGCTGAAAACTAAAAATAAATAAATAAATTCTAAAATAATTTATCAGTTTCTATTTCTTATGCAATCAATATGGATAGCTAAAACCCACATAACAAAAGTTCTTGGGGGGGGGGTCAGTCCTCAAAAGTATAAAGGTTTCCTCAGATCAAAACCACTGAGAACCACTGTTGTTCTTGATATAGGAAAAAGGATAGTTCTCATTTGGAGAAACAATTTCATACACGACTTTTCTGGACATACCCATCATCAAAATATAGTATACCAAGGTTAAGACTTAGAAATGCAACCGAGTCTGGTGTGAAAAAGAAGAATGTTTCTTAAGGGTGGGGTCTCTTTTATAAGGAAATTTCAGTCATTTTTCAATAAATTAATGTTCAAATGTTATCTCTTTTCCGTGCTGTCATCCTCCCCCTCCCTGACAAAACAGGATGCCCCAAAGTAGTCTTAACTTCTCTGTAACATACTGGCGGTCTCAATCCAATGTCAACATTAAAATCCGTTTTGTCAGCAAATGAGTTTTGCAATAGTAAACAAAGTATGACATAATCAAAATTTAACAGACGACAGGGAAAAAAGGAAAGGGCTGAGCTTGAACACTGTGAAGCTCCTCTGGTCACTTTCCTATTCCTGAATATCAAAGTATGCAACATCAGGGTCTGAGCAGGACTCTGCAACCAAGAAGAACGGAAGTGGTCTAGCCTTAAAATTTTTACACTTGATTGTCTCCAGCAATAACAATGAACTTTGAGAGTGACTCACAAACCCAAAGCTATTTTCACAGTTTGTTGGTAGCACAATCCCAAAGAAAACCCACTTTCTTTCACTTCAGTCTTTTCTATTTCACTGCAGGTAGTTAGGGAAGATGAGTGGTATATCACAAGGCACAATGGGCTTGAAATCTGAAGCCCTGAGAGACTTTAGTTAGTCTATCTGAACATAGAGATCAATTTACTAAAATTGTTGAAAAGAAGTAAAATTGTAGGAATAAGCTGAAAGATACTTATTTTTAGGCTGAACTTATTACATTTTATGTAGATTTGAGGGAAAGTGCGAAATCCAATATTCAATATGGAATATTTTCTTCAACAAAATCTTTTCACAAGTTTCACAAAATGTTCACAGCATCACAGACAGAGAGTAGGAAGAGACATCTTCTAGTCTCGCCCCTTTGTTTTACAGATTAAATAACTGAGGCCCAAACTAAGGGAATAAGACTGTTTTCTACTATTTGCTCTCTCTTACTGGTTATTTGTGCCTATTACACTTCAATTTTTTTTTTCTTTTTGCTTTTTGGTAAAGCAATCAGGGTTAAGTGACTTGCCCAGGGTCACACAGCTAGTGTCAAGTGTCTGAGGCCAAATTTGAACTCAGGTCCTCCTGACTCCAATGCTGGAGCTCTATCCACTACGCCATCTAGCTCCCCTTACACTTCAATATTTCAAGCACCTGTAGTTTTCTCGGTATGGGTATTCCGTTCACTGAGGCAGATTTGCTACATTAGTCTTATTATCTTCTTAAGTTCCTCTGGGTGAAAAAATTCATCCCTCAGAGACCATCTTTCTGGTAATAAATCTTTCTGAACTTTGTTAGGCTGACTCTGGGATTGCAGGATTAGATGTCTCTTACTGGGCTGGAAGCTCTCCTGACTGGAGAGAATCAGCTAGAGCTTATACCCTGTTAGTGCAGCCTCTGAAAACTTAGGGTCACCTGAGGTCCCCTTGGGCCTTTGGTACAGGCAATTCCAGTTTATTACAGAGGAACAGAGTTGCAGGATCAAAAACCAGAGACACAGAGAGGTCACTTACTCTTAACTGCCCAATCTTTTTCAAGTGAAGAAACACAGCCTGGGATTAAGAAATAAGCCCAATAGATAGATAGATAGACAGACAGACAGACAGACAGACAGACAGACAGACAGACAGACAGATAGATCGATATCAGAGGATGAGTTGAAGATGAAGGGGTGATATCTGGAGAATAAAATTAAGGGGTGAGAGAGGATTATACTAGGAGAAGGAGAAACGGAGAGGCAGAATGGGGTACATTATCTTGCACAAAACAGACAAGAAAAGGTTTTTACAGTGGAGGGGAAACAGGGGAAGGTGAGAGGAAATGAGGGAATCTTATTCTCATAGGATTTGACTTAAGGAGGGAATAACATACACACTCAATTGGGTATGGAAATCTGTCTTACCCTACAGGAAAATAGGGGAGGAAGGGACAATAGAGTAGGGATGATAATCAGAAGGAAGTACTTCTGAGGAGGGACAGGGTGAAAAGAAAGAATAGAATAAATGGGGGGGCAGGATAGGATTAAGGGAAATAGAGTTAGTTTTTCACAACATGTCTACTACGGAAGTGTTTTGCATAACTGCACATGTATGGCCTGTATCGACTTGCTTGCCTTTTCAATGAGGGTGGGTGGGGTGGGAGGAAGGGAGAAAATTTGGAACCCAAAGTTTTAAAAACACATGTTTAAAAGAAATGTTTCCACGTGCAGCTGGGAAATAAGAAATACAGGAAATGAGGTACAGAAATCTATCCTGCCCTACAGGAAAATAGAAGGGGAAGGGGATAAGAGAAAGGGGGGGGGGGAGATAGAAGGGAAGGCAGACTAGGGGAAGGGGTATTCACAATGCATGTCATCTTGGAGTGGGGGGAGGGGCAAGATGGGGTGAAAATATGGAATTCAAAATCTTGTGGAAGTAAATGTTGAAAACTAAAAATAAATTCATATTAAAAAAAAAAAGAAATAAGCCCTCTAAAAAATATAAGCCATGATTATCATTACAAAGGAAGCCAGAATCCTTTAGGTAAGTCTATGATGGATCTGGCTATGACCATCATGGAGAAAAGACCTCTAGATGTATCTTCTGAAAAATGCTCCCATATAACTGGCTTCCTCAGGCTAAGGAGCTATGATGATAAGATGGTCTGAGCAAGAGGAATAAAGACAATGTCACAAGCACCACTGACTTACACTGCTTATGGAGCTTTCTATAACTTACATATGGTTTCCTGCACATGCTCTTAATAGGTCTTCATTGCAGCCAGGAAAGCCCGAACAACATGGCTGAGCAAGGAGCAATCATAGTAGCAGGAGAGAAAGAAGGCCAAAGCCAGCACTTATATATCACTCTACCTTTGTTTGAGATTGAGGCATTATTACCCCTTTTTTATACAGGAGGAAACGAAGGCCCAGGGATAAAGATACTTGCCCAAATCCATATAGCTGGTAAAGTTGAGATGATAAGCTGTGCTAAGTGCTTTACAAACACTACCTCATTTGATCCTTACAATAACCCTGAGAAGGTAGATGCTATTATTATCCCCATTTTACAGTTTAGGAAACCGAGGCAAATAGGTTACGATGTCTTGTCCAAGTTCACACAGCCATTAAGTGTCTAAGGCTGGATTTGAACCAGGTCTTCCTACCCAGGATGTAGGCCCAGGATCTCTGCCCTGCCAAGCCAGTCATCTTCTCATGGCATTCACCATGATGCCTCTTGAGTCATGTGACTCCAGTGTCAAAAGGCCAACCTGAACTTACACAAACTGCTCTTGTCCATCTTTTTCTTTTATCAGCACTATGAAACTGAACTTCCTCATATGTAAAACAGGGATAAAAATGTCTGTAGCATCTTACCTGACAGGGTTATTGTGAGGAAGGTTTTGCCACTTTAAATAGCTTATTATGTTCCTACCTAAAAGTTAGAGATGAAGATAGTTTTTTGGTTTATTTTTTTTCTAATCTTGTGTTGTATTTTGGAAACAAATTTGAAATTAACATAAAAGACGCCTCTTCAGGCTACTCACCATACACATTTTAGCACTTTTATCACAGGATCTCGGTTGGAGGATGCTCAGAAGCTATTTAGGCCTCAGTGTATCTGAACAGGAATCCCTTCCACAATACTCCCTAACTTCCACATGACAGCAGCCAGTGATAGGAAGATCACTATGTCAAATCAGTTTGTTCTATTGTAGAACCATGCCATGTGTTAAGAAGATTTTCTTTATGTCACACCAAAATCAACCCCCTTGCAACTTCTTTGCGTTTTTCCTAGTTCTGCCAAACAGAACAAATCTAATCCCTCCCCCATGATGCATCACTTCAAATGTTTAAAAGCAGAAAGATCAAGTCCCTTCTCTAAATCTTCTTTCCCCCCAGGCTTCAACATCTCTAGTCCCTCCCAACAATCTTCATATAGCAGGAAGACACCACCACCATCCTGAACAGTCTCTTCTAGACTCATTCAGGTTATTAATCAATTCCTAAAACATAGTGCTCAAACTCAGCAAAATGTTCCAGAGACGTTCTACTTATTAAGACAGAGCAGAGTGGCCCTATCACTTGGGCTTTTCTGGACACTGCATCTCTAAAAACGCAGTATAAAATTACATCAGCTTTCTGTGGTTGCTGTTATACTGCTGAAATAAACATCCACTAAGATCTCTCCCAGTCTTTTTCATGTGAATTGCTGCCCCATCTTTTACCTATACAATAGTGTTGTTGCTGTTTTTAAGTCCAAGTAAAGGATTTTGTTTGTCTTTACTACATTTCATCATACTGGAGTCTGTCTATCTTTCAAGCCTGTCAAGGCAAACAAGGTTACTCTTCTTCCTTACCACTGTCAAATTTCGGATTTCTTCCATGACACGAGGCCAAAAGGACTGTAGACTCTGCTGAGCATCACTGCTGCTGGTACTGCCAAACCCTCCATCAGTGGACATTCTGGTAACTGTGGAATAAACATGCATCCACAATATTAGAAACAGGGAGAGAGGTACAGCAAAGGTCAGGCTGTTAAGAGATTCTATAACATCCCAATTCACTTCTTGTGAAATTTTAGTCTATTATCTCATATGTTCAGGTTGAAAACACGTTTCTGTGTGGAAGAAGCGAGGCTTCCATATAAACCTGTAAAACATGGAGAGCAGCAAAATCTACCCTCCTCCCCCGTCTGTATTACTGTACCTACCAAACTGAAATAGCTTCCACAAAAGAACTCTGGGGGACCTCAAACTAGGCAACTGTGGTCTCACAGAGTTATCTGTTTCCAGGAGTTTCAATCTAGATTCCTTTTCGACAAGTTACTTAACTTCTCTATGCCTCAATTTCCTCAGGCATAAAAAGGACATTAATATTTGTACAATTTACTTTATAGGATTGTGCTGAAGGCCAAATGAAAATATGTAAAGCATCTTGTAAGCCACAAAGTATCATGTAAATTTCAGCTAGAATTAACCCCCCCCAAAAAAAAACCCAAAACAATTTTAATATCAATTTGGTGTCTTTAGCTTCTAGTCTACAAGTAAAAAATACTATCAAAAATCTGACCTGATCTTATCCACCACCTTCTTGAGGAAATCTGGGCTTTTCCCTTACTAGGCCATAGAATCCAGAGAATTCATCAGACATTCTCTAGTCAAAACCAACTGCAATAAAAGTCATACCTAAGAGCCTCAAAAGGAGGACCCAAACCTCATCAACTGTTTGAAGACCACATGGCTGATCTCTTTTAGCATTAAGGATTTTTGTTTTTTTAAGGCACAGGGTGATTTTCATGGTTTTACTAAAAGGGTCTGCGAGCTATCATTAGAAAGTGGGTAGAAAGGTACTAACCTATAATCATTTTCCAGTTCCTTCCCAACCTGAATCCTGCTGTGTGGCCCTGAGCCAATACCAACAACTGAAGTATCAGAATCTCAAAGCAGCTCAAGGTTTAGATCACCAAGAAACAATAGGGAATTGTGGCAGCAGAAGACCAAAGGCAGCATTCTAGGCAACTGCTTTTGTGTGAAAGAGGGAAAAGCGAACAAGAGGCCATGGATTAGTTACACTCTGTTCACATCAAGTTGTGCAATATTTAAGAGACAAGTGAATAGCTCCAGGTGGCTTAAGTGCTTACCTGGCAAATGCTTACTTAGATGGCAAAAAAATAGCTTAATTAAACATAAAGGGAAGAGAAAGTCAAGCCATTAACCTAAGAATTCCTGTATTTGGGAATCACTTGGAAAGGTTTCACACCACTGACAGGCGCTGGCAGTGAGGTAAGTAAGAATTGTTTCAATTTGGGGTGGGGGGATGTTCTTGTGCTCGTACGGTGTTGAGTGTATGTAGAAAAGGATGCTATATGACCAAACTTGTTATTCTCCAGGCCCAGGAATTCTGGTACAGATGCCGAGCAGATTCCTTCTCATTTGGGGAATGAGGAGTGGGGGGGGGGGAGAGACAGGGATCAAGGCCAGGATTAAATAAGGACAATTATCAAGCACTCATGTATTGCCTTGGGTCATCCTGGGAATGCTGTGTAGAGGGCGAGTGATGGGTTTTGGTTTTAAATTCTTTAAAGAATTTTTTTTACTTACCCAAAGTTCGGGGCTAGGGAAAGAGAAAGTGTCCAATATTTAAAACAATTTCAGCACAGGCATAATAACATTAGTGTGTGGTGACGTAACGGGAAAAATCACTGAGCCAATTTCTGGTGTTAAAGGTAAAGGAATAACTAGCTCCTGGAGCCTGTGGGAGATACCCAGGAGGGATTGGATGAGGCTGTCCCTATAGACACCACCAGAGGGCAGTATTCTAGCCCACCTTTAGAAATGGTTATTTACAAAATCCCAGTTGGCAAAGACCTCAGATGTCATAGGCTTAAAGCTAGAAGGGACCTTAAGAGATCACCTGGTCCAAACCCCTCATTTTATGAAGGAAGAAACTGAAACCTCAAAAGGCAGCTAGATGGTGCAGTACATACAGGGCTGGGCCTGGAGTCAGGAAGACCCAAGTTCAAATGTGGCATTAAGCACTCTGTAACTCTGGACAAGTCACTTAACCTCTGTCTGCTTCAATTTCCTCAGCTGTAAAATGAGGATAGTAAAAGCATCCAGCTCCTAAGGCTGCTGTGAGGATCAAATGAGATGACATTTTTTAAATGGCACATAGTAGGCACCTGATAAGTAGCTATTTCCTTCCTTCCTAAAGTCACTTGTCTAAGGCATACCATTAAGGAAGTAGTATGTTTGGGATCTGAACCCAGGTTCTCTGATAATCTGAAGTTCTTTTATCTAGTCCAAACCTTTCCTGAAATGTGAATTCCTGATATAATATACCCTATTGACCACCTTCTCTCTCTTTGAACACTATTAGTTGCCTTACCCAAAATGAAGTGGCTGGCCAAGGTCCCAAATAGAATGTTCATTTATCATGCACACTGTTTAAATATTACCCCAAGCTGGACTGGATTTCAAAGAACTCTTGGGGATTGACCAATGTTACCCAATTTCTGCTCAGTAACCTCCTAAGAGATGGCAAAATCAATTAGTAGGGAGAGAACCACCATTCTGCCCAATCAGAAACAAAATCTTTCTCAAGGAGGAAGCAGTGTCAAAGACCTTTCTTGTTGGGGGTGCCTCTCATCCACATGGGTACAAGATACATCACTGAAGTGGCAGCAGAAAAGTCTGTTGATAATGCCTCAGATTAATGACTTGAATCAAATCTGAATTTCAGTTTTGAACCTCTGACCTTAAACACAGCAAAGATGAAGCAACCAATTCATTTTATGAGAGACTAGTAGCAAAGTCAGGAAGAAGGTTCCACTCTTGTGCTTTCCATCCCACAACTCCAGGCATTGATTAAGTGCCTATTGTGTGCAAAGGACAAAAAGTAGAAGAAAAGAAACAGATCTTCGAGGAGCTTACAACAGCACAGACACAAATGAGTACAAGGCAGAATGCAAAAGGAGAAGAAGATGAGAATCAGAGAAAATGTTGGGAGAGATCTCTTTCACCCGGGGGGAATGAGGGAAGGTTTTGAGGTACCTGAACTGAGCCTTTAAGAAAAAGAAGCCTAGCAGCCCTGCACCAAAGGACTTGGATTTTGAAAAGATAAATTTAACAGTAGTAGCATCTACAAAAGCCTACCCACATCTCTCACTCAGTTCATGGATACAAAATGTGGGCCACAACTGTTTCCAACAACATTCCAACTATGACATCCTTTAATAGGATGTTGGTAAGAGATTCTGGCCTGACCCCTAGCCAATGAGACCTAATAAAGGCACTCTGACACACTGCTGGTACTATCTGGCCAGCTGCTACACAGGCTGTTGCTTTAACTCCTTCATGTTCTACCATATTTACCATTAAAGTGTTGGGAGCAGTCTGACAGTATAAAAACATCTGTGAGGGTCAGTCTCAGAGTCCATGAATGGCTCTAAAACGGTTGGCTTGAGCCACACACTATTGCAAAATGGGTCACACAAGAAGCCAAAGTTACCAAATCTTTCTGGAAATAGGAAGGCATGTCAGAGCTTTAAAAAAACACACTTTTATTTGAGTGAGACGTCGGCCCTGGGAAACCACGTATGTCTTGTTAACAGGAAGAAACAGTCAAAGACATCCTTTTAAGTTTTGTGGAGGCAGTCTAGTGGAGGGGAGAGAGCACTAACATGGATGTTAGGAGGGCACAGGTCCAAGCACCAGCTTGGAAGTTCATTAGGAATTAGGTACTGGGCAGATCACTTCACCTTCCTGAGACTCAGTATCCTCATGTATCAAACAAAAATAACACTCATGCTACCTACTTCACAGGACTGTCTCTAAGGAAAAGGTTTCACGAACCTCAATGCTTTTTAGCTTCTGAATTTTACTTCTTAGGAGTTTCCATCTACTGTAAATGGCTAAATAAATCATGGTTCATGAATGTAATGAAATATTGTGTTACAAGAGATGATGAAATGACAGTTTCAGAGGAAAATGGAAAAGGATTCTATGAACAGATGCCAAGTGAAAGGAGAAGAACCAGAACTATACAATAACAATACAACAAAAAACAATTCTGAAAGATTTTAGAACTCTGATCAATGCAATGATAAAGCACAATTCCAGAGAACTGAAGATGAAACACACCACTTACCCCTGAGGGACAGGTGATGGATTAAAAATACAGAATAAGACATACACTGACAGAAATGGTCAATGTATTAATTTGTTTTGCTGGACAATGCATACTTGTTATGATGGGGGGTTTTTTCCCCCTTTTTTTAGGGAGAAGGAGGAGGAAGGGAGAGATGATAATACAGCTAGTATATAGCATTTTAAGGCTTGCAAAAAGCTTTACAAATATTATCTCATTTGACCCTTATAACAACTCAGGGAAAGTGTTATTATTATACTCATTTTACACAGGTGGCAATTTTTTAATTTTTAGGCAATTGGGGCTAAGTGACTTGCCCAAGGTCACATGGCTAGTGTGACAGTCAAGTGTTTGGTCTGAGGCTGGATGTGAACTCAGTTCCTCCTGACTTCAGGGCCAGTGCTCTATCCACTGCCCCACCTAGCTGCCCCCCACAGGAGGAAAGTGAGAAAGGCAGAGATTAAGTGACTTGTCCCGGGTCACATATCTAATTAAGTGGCTGAGGCTTGATTTCAACTCAAGTCTTCCTGACTCCACATCCAACGTTCTATCCACTGTGCCACCTAGCTGCCTAATAAATGCTTGGCTTTTTTTTTTTTTTAAAGAAAAAAGTACCACATCACACCTATCAGATTGGTCAACATGATCAAACAAGTAAATGATAAATGTTAGAGAAGATGTGGGAAAACTGGAACACTAATGCATTGTTGGTGGAGTTGTGAAATGATCCAACCATTTTGGAGAGCAATTTGGAACTGTGCCCAAAGGGTTATAAAAATGCGCATACCACTTTTAGGGCTATATCCCAAAGAGATCATAAAA